GGCCTAAATGTCAAAATTAGTACAATAGTAACTACATCACAACAATATCTTTTATAGAAAAATCCTAATACTAAACATGATATTTCATTATCATGAGTACATTTTTTTTTCTCACTAAATTTAACCATGGGTGTAGTAACCATATTTTTTTTTGGTGGATTATTACCAAATCTATAACCACAGTTTTACTGCAAATTCCATGGCTAAACCATGGTTAATTTGTGGTTACCATGGTTTAACTATTGTAACCATGGATCTTGGTTTTATATTAAACCCTCGTTAATTTTCCTAAGGGTTATGGTGTTGTTTTCCCTACAGTAGCTCCCTCTAAAACTATTATAAACCTGTCAGTGAACATAGCCAAAGTTGCAGTGATGAAGTAGGTGTTTATTTTCTTCTGCAGAGGTGGTCTTCTATCTATAGACACATTCCACAACGAGTTGTTCGCTGCTTGGTTACAATTAAAAGCTGTTTTTGGACTAACAAGGAAGTTTCCAGTTCTGAAACTTACAGGATATGCTTAGTATGATGACATCTTATGTCAAAAGCTCAAGGAAAATCTAATTTCTCAATTAATGATCATGCTTGTTTTATCTTATTTTAAATAATTTAAGTCATCTTGAAGGCCTCAAAATTAAGTTAAAATCTCTGTTCCCTGATTGAGAACAACATTCTCAATTAATGATCCCTTTCATGCTTTTTTTTTATCTTATTTTAAATAAATTTAAGTCATCTTGAAGGCCTCAAAACTAAGTTAAAATAATCTGTTCCCTGATTGAGGGTGTGGAAAATGTGAGAGGGAAAAAGTAGTATTTTTAGAACTTTATAAGTTCACTGTATAACTGCTTTGGAACAATATTCATGGTGAAAAGCACTAAGTATGACTAATTAAAAATGTCTATTCAGGTTTATACATTAGAAACACTAGAAATATTTTCCAGACAGTTTTTAGTTTTATTAATTTGCTTTGTGACAGTAGAGTAACAAAATAAAGGCCTATTTTTTTCATTATATTATTCATTTATTAAATTATTCTATTAAATTAATGTATTTAGAAACATATAAAATAAATGTATATCATTTATAATTCATATTAATACATGAATTCATATGATTTAATTATTATTAAAGCCAGCATGTAATGAAAATTCACCTTAAATCACCCCATATGTGTTTTAGACCTTAAGGGCCATACAAACCGGTACGAATATCGGCGCGCGTTTTTCAACGTGTTTTTTCTGTTCGCACCAAATCGATTTTTCCCATTTCCCACTTTTGTCCATAATAGAGTATTTCAGAGTCGCTGAAGCAGATCATTGTCTTCGTGGACTGCATTTTTTCTCAAGATTTTGATGAGGACATCATTAGCACATTTATTATCACGAAGGGCACAGAAGGCAATGTGCTTCCTGCACCCGCCCAGTAAATTCAGTCTCTCTCCGCCAATGTGGTTTTACACTTTTATCATGAGGTAGCCTACCCTTACTCTGATTAGTCACGGTCTGCTTTGGGGCATGTTGGTTCACTGCGACAGGAATGTGAACCATATTACAGATCCTGCGTCACCTGTGCCTAATCAAGGACGTGGACAGCTCAATTTCTCACAATAACTACCAGTGACCTTCCTCCATTTCTGGTTGTATTTACCTTCTCAGGCTTAGCACTGCAAGTCTGACTCAAGAACGTCTGCTCAAACCTCCTCTCATCTTTTCAATTGTGTATGCATTATATTTACACAGTCTGTGTGTAGTTACATTTGCTGAAGGCATTTTACAAGTTTTGATTAGTTTGGAAATTGAACAAAACAAATTACTAAAACACTTCAACATACCCTCCAGTAAAAAACAACTCGTGTTCTGGACTGTTATGTTATTTCACCATATAGAGAGATAGGGCACATTCAATTGCCAGATGGGATTTTATGTGGATGCTTCCTTTCATTAAAATGCATCACTCATGACTCCAGAACTTGATTAGTCATTCGCAAAGATGTGTTTGTGCGGAAAGGGTCATTTTCTGCTAGCTCGTGCTTTTACCGTGTTTAGGAAAACAGCATTGTTGTGATGATGTGTTTTCTACGTAGTGAAGCCTAATACAAGAAGCAGAGAAATACAAAAATGCATAATGCAATAAAGTGCAACAGTAAGGTTAAGAAAGTAAAAATCCCTTTTACTTTCTTCAGAAAGAAACAATAATGTATAAAGCTTTCAAAACTGACTCACCAACTCCAAAATTATTGAATTAAATATTCACTTGACAGATGCCCTATGAGCTCTCAAACTACTTATATATTTGTATTTAACTGAATAATTTCCAATAAACTCATTGCAATAATTCCTCATAAAAGGATTTTTTTTTAAATTTTAAATATAAATTTCAAATCAAAGTTTGCATGTTGTGAGTCATCACACAACACGTTTATGGTTTGTGTCATGACTTGAATTTTTTATTTTTTTTTATTAAATCCCTATGATGAAAAATAAAAAAAACAATACAAGGCCACTGGAAAAAGTGGCTAGTTGCTGTAAGAAAAACATAACACGAAAACGTTTCTAGTAAACATATAGGCTACTGTACCTGGGAAGTTCTGATTTTTCACTTTGGGTTTTGCTACAGTAAGGCACTAATTTCATATATGTAAGCACTCAAACAAGCACTGTACTCAATGTAGAGCAGCATTCAATTCTCAAATAAGATATGAACACATATTCGAGGGAATGTATAGTCTTCAATTAATTTTAACCAACAATCTGTGATGGCGACATTTGGTAGGCACAGCATGATTACTGCACATTTGCTGAAGCCTGTAATAATTTATTCATTTAAGGTCAAACGCAACAGGCCCGACGGCCATAGATTTGAGTCTGTTGTGATTTATCGGGGCAGACAGTTGAGGGGAAAAAAAGATGATTTTGGGGAGAGCAGCTGACTCATTTGCATTCAGTCCATCTCACTGAAAAACCCACGATAGAGAGAGAGAGAGAGTCAAATGATAGAATGAAGGAGGCTGTCTGCCCACCTTTGGTCACCCACAGCAACGGAAATCTTTTTTATTGCGGTCACATACAGTACAGTTACATGTGACTCATGGGATTGAAATGTGAAACCTTCAGACAGAGATGAATGAAGTGATTATGATGATGCTTTTGTTCAGGTGGAGATTGAATATGTGCCACACTCCCTGAGAAGATTTCTGCCATGCACTTGTAGTTTTAACCCTGTAAAGCTTGTAGTGGAATGTGTTTATTGAACATGTGTACAAAGTATATAAGTACCAAAAAAAAAATTTGCATATGAAGAGTTCAGATGCAAAAGCCTCTAAATGCCATTTGAAATTTTCTTCTTTAATGATGATTTTTATCAAACTTGTATATTTAAGTTCAGTAATTTCACTTAAATAACAATTAATAGGTAATTATCATTGCCATTTAAGAGAAATTACTGAACTTAAATATACAAGCTTGATAAAAATCATCATTAAAGAAGAAAATTTCAAATGGCACTTAGAGGCTTTTGCATCTGAACTCTATTTGCAGTGCTGGTAGCAACTGATTACTGTACATGTAAAATGAGACATTTACTTTTCAGGATTACATGTTATTTCCATGTTGATTTCTACTTTGATTTATATTTTACATTTTCTTTTCTATAAAAGGCTACTGCTTATATAGGAAGATCTTCCAGGTTTGTGGAATTGCACAGACGGACCAGTCACTATTAGTCATGTGACTATCACTTTATGGAGTGTTTTCTCAACATCGCAACAGTGCATATCAAATCAGCTCCTATCGAACACATGAATTATTATTTGAATAATCACTCAGTGAGTCATTTAACCATGCATTTCTGTCTTTGGAGGGCTTTTGTATTTCAAACACATACAAAATTTACAAATTCACATCATTTCATAATGACATGCAATGCAGGGATTCCCTAACTTTTGTCAGCTGAATCTCTTTGACTTTGTGTCAATAATAATAAAATAAAATTCATGGTTCTCTGATTTCGGATGGTCACGTAACATGCAGGTAAACATTATCTTTTTTAAGGAAATGATTTGATTTATTTAAAATTATATATTTTAATCTTCATTTCTTATTTAATACTTCTATTCATTAAACTCAAGAACCCCATGCAGTCTGGGAAACATTGATGTAATGTAGTAGCCTATTTAATGAACTTGTTGAAAAAGTATGGAATATATTTTCTTTGTATACAAATCAATGTGATAAACGAGTTAGGTCAAAAATAGTAATCTAAAAAGACATCATTTTCATTGAGGGCAAATGATTTAGAGCTTGTTGCTTTTGAATACAAAATATTTTCATCACTTTTGTCAGGCATGGTATAAAGATAATCTGACTCAATTTGGTGGGCTTTGGACCAAATGTACCATCATTATAGGCAATTATAGCATTTAGCAGCAGGCCTACATTATACAATATATTGCTATAGCTTCTACATTCTTACATCTCATTTGCTTACAGTAAAACCAGGGTTCGAAATTAACTTTTTCACCAACCGACCAATTTGGCTACTAAATTTTTAAGATACAAGCGAACAAGCGCGCCGTTATTTGTGATGTGTACGTTCAAGTAAACCAGAAATGCGCAGATTCTGCGCAATATAATAAGACCCTTTGCACTTCACAGAAAATATTTTCTAACTACTTTCACTCCTCATCTTCATTAAAACCCATTTCTTCTTATAAAATAACACCGTCAATGTGTTTTTAAAGGCTCTTGTATGGCAACAAATAAGAAAGTATGATGAAATAGCGCCCCCCTGTGTGCAATCCTATGGTGCAATCTCATCAATGAGCGGAAAACAGAATAAAAGTCCCGTTTAATCACCACTGTATGTTAATCACCGTTTAACTATTTCCTTGAAGCTACATATACTATAGCCATGTCTTGTTTGTTGGCATAGTATTAAGGCAAATATCCCATTTATTAAAAATACATATAGTTTTTTTTTTTTTTTAAAAACCCTTAAACATTTTCTGACGTCCTGACATTTGTAAAGCTAGTAGGAAGTCACGTTTGCTGACGTCACTTCCTTATGACAGAGTCATTCTGAAATTCTGTACGGACGAGCAGGTAATGTATCTTTTAATTCATCAATTAAGCATTCAGAGGACTGCAAATATTTTTTGTATCCCTGGCGTCTCTCTTTACAGGCGACTAAATCTATAAACCACGATACAGTAAGTTAACTTATGCGAAAAATCTTTGTAAACATGGTTCCTCAGAAAACCGTAGCCGTCATCCAATTAACTTCCTCTAAAATAAACCAAGCACGCTACAAAAACTGGTATGATTTTCTTTTGCTAGTTAAAATGCACCTTATAGATTACTTTAAGCCTATTAGAGGCCTACTGCTGACGCAACTAATTAAGTTACTGAATCAATTTTAACGATAACGTACAATCTGTGTGAGAGCCTGCACAGATTTTTTCGGTATATTGTAACGTTAGCGGTAAAAAAAATGTATTTCTTTCATTTGTGAGTTCTATCGTCTTTTTTCCCACAGACATGAAGATGAATTTGTTATTAGCTGTCACTCTGATGTCCATCCCCATGGCACTTGTGCAGGGGGCTGAAAAGAAAAAGCTGCAGATCGGAATCAAGAAAAGAGTAGACAACTGTCCTATCAAGTCCCGCAAGGGAGACGTGTTGAACATGCACTACACTGTACGTGTCGTACTTCTCTTACCCAAATGTTATTCATCCCAAAAAATGTCTTATTCTAACTGTGTTTTTTATGTGCAGGGAAAACTGGAGGATGGAACAGAATTTGACAGCAGTATACCGAGGAATCAGCCCTTCACCTTCACGCTTGGCACGGGACAGGTCATCAAGGGCTGGGATCAGGGTTTGTTGGGGTGAGCAGCAGTACTTCTGCTTTTCCAGATTTCTCAGACAGTATTAGGATTTAAAGACATGAATTTAAAGGAGTAGTTCACTTTTAAAAAAAACTTTTGCTGATAATTTACTCACCCCCATGGCATCCAAGATGTCCATGTCTTTCTTTCTTCAGTCGAAAAGAAATTAAGATTTTTGATGAAAACATTCCAGGATTTTCTCCATATAATGGACTTAATTGGGAACCAAACAGTTCAAGGTCCAAATGACCATTTCAGTGCAGCTTCAAAGGGCTTTAAACGACACACCAGACGATGAATAAGGGTCTTGTCTAGCGAAACGATCTGTCATTTCAAAATTAAATAAAAAAGTTTAAGTTTTATTAGCTCAAATGCTCGTTTTGCTCTGTTCTTGTGATGCACGTTCGTGACTCTCCTGTTCAAACTCGTTCATCAAAATGAACTAATCTTTTTTTCGAGTCATGACTCAAAGGGTCCTAGATAAGACCCTTATTCATCATCTGGTGTCTTTTAAAGTGCTTTGAAGCTGCACTGAAACTCTCATTTGGACCTTGAACCGTTTGGTTCCCATTGAAGTCCATTATATGGAGAAAATCCTGGAATGTTTCCATCAAAAACTTTAATTTCTTTTTGACTCTTTTTTTTTTTAAAGTGAACTACTCCTTTAATAGTTGGTCTAATAAAGATGAATTAGCAGATTAACAGTGTGCAGCTGTGTTAAATATATTAGCATGTGTAATGAGCTCCAGTTTGACATCCTTTTCCATTTCTCCCTGTATTTACCTGTCATATCTTTGCTGTCTCGTTTTATTAAAAAAATGCCCATTTAGCATGTGTCATTCCTTTTCTTTCCCCTTAGGATGTGTGAGGGTGAGAAGAGGAAGCTGGTTATTCCCTCTGAGCTTGGTGAGTATGTGATGGAAAAGTAATATGTCTCATATGTTTTAAAAAAAGAAAAAGATTTTTTAGTCCCTATTTTAAGCATATATGACTGTTTTATAAACTACAGGTTATGGGGATAGAGGAGCACCGCCTAAAATTCCAGGTACGATGATGCTCAGTTCAATCCAACATTAAATCTGATGTCTTGCGCTTTTTATTTTTTTCTACAATAAATAAAAGATTAAAGCTTTACTTGTTAGGGATCTATAGCCGGTCATTAGCGATATAAAAGTACATGCAATAAACCAGTTAGATAAAAAGGAAACATGAAGTTAGTTCTGAGAAAATATCTAGCAAATATCCTCGCTGATGCTACTTTTTTTGTTTGTTTAACACAGTGACATTTATATACTTTTAAATGAGGCTGAAGGGCCTTAGCAAACTTTCAAATGAATACATTATTATTAATAAATGTAATATTATTCATAAAATAAAAACGCACTTAATTAAAATGCCAAAAGAAATTGCATAAACTCTTACTTACTCCTGTTTATTTCCCACATTATTTATTTAAAAAAGCTGCCATGAATATTATCATTGAATATCGGACAATGGTGGACCACCGTATGAACCACATTCTGAAATCTCTTCCCTCCCCTTTTCCTGCTGTGTAGGTGGAGCCACACTCATCTTCGAAGTCGAACTGTTGAGCATTGAGAGAAGATCTGACTTATAGTGACAGATATGTCAGTGTTTTTGCAAACCTGCATAGCAATTTCAGGTGTTAAAGTTAAATACCTTTCTCAGTTATTAAAGCGGTTACAAAAACAGAAGAAGCTTTTTGATGTTTACCTTTCTAGAAAAAGAATGAAGTCGACATGTAGCACCATTCTTTATTTGAGAGCCTTACTACATGTATTTGGTTGTGAGAGTGCACACAGTACAGTTTTTGCCATTCCAACAAGTTCTAAACAGTTTCTTAAATCATGTTCACTTGAAACTGAATAAAAGTTTTATTTACAAAAGATATGCAGGCTTTGAGCTTGATTTAGTACTGACCTTGGCCTACACCACCAAAGCATCTTCATTCATAGCCTTCATCACAATTTGGCATACACTTCTTTTTTGTAAAGTTAGAAAAAATATCCGATGTAACAAATTGGCAAATTCACTCAATCAGTATTGCTACTCTTCATCCTGAAAGAACTTCAAACTAGTTTAATTTTCCCTTTAGTTTAATGATTTTTAAAAACAGTAGTACTAAGCACAGACCTGTTGTGTTTTTTTTCCCTAGAAATGGTAGATTAAAAATGGCTTACAAAAAACACAAGTTAACAATTCTCATCCCCCTCCCTCTTCCCAACTTACATCAACACACCCTAAAATCTGAAAACCTCTATCTAAAACTAATATTTTCTGGCCTGCAAAAAATCGTTTCACCCCTTGCGAGAGACCGTCAAAAAAGGGGGTAAAAAGAAATTCTTTGTTCTAACTTCCTATATGATCACAGACAGACACATCAAGCCAAGTCACGAGGCTGAAAAAAAAGTGTAATAGTGAGCAGTGTAACCGTAACATCAACCATTCGACTCCTTTCCCTAAATCACCACGGGGGTTTTAAGCTAATGGGACACTACCACACTCTCTACATGTAAGATATGCTGAAACAGTACTAAGACGAAGTAAAAACAGTTGGTCAACCTGCAGCTGAGGTTGTCTTGGCTGGGCTCGTATCATTGATCTCCGTTTGACAGACGCTGTGGTTTAGTGGTTGGGTCTGCATGCCTGCATCTCTCCTCTGGGTTTGGAGTGACAGGTTGTTTTTGTGGTGGGGGGAGGAGCTGACATGACCTCATGGTGTCAGCTCCCCTTTCTTCTGAGGGGTGCTCAGTTTCTGCATCCCACTGACCTTCTCCAGCAGCGCCGCCACAAAGTCCTGCAGATGGCCAGAAGGAGAATTATGGCGAGAAAAGGCACATTTCTCTCCAGAGACTCAATGGCTCAGAGAATAACACGTCTGCCTGTAACGAAGGTAATCGCTAATGCTATTAATGTTCAAAATGGCACTTACATCATTAGGCTTATAACAGTCGACCAGCAGCATCTGAAAAACAAAAATGGAAAGGGCCTTAATGACTTTCACTAATCTGCTGTTTTTCCAACTGTGTACCCAGAGCCGGATTAGTACCCCCAGGGACCCCTGGGCACTGAAGCTCATGTTACGAGTGTGAAACCGGTTCAGACGATTCAATGCGTAAAGGAATCTGAAACATTCAAACTGATTCGCGAATCGCGATCCAATTTAGACAGTTCTGCCAACATGTTTGATTAAGTCTTTGAACAGAATCGACTCAAAAGAGTGATTCATTTGTGCATTGAGCTTCGCTCATGCCAGAAAAAAAGATGTCGCGCACTTGGAATAAACTGACTTAAAGGGTAACTAAACCCCTGGTCAGAGCCTGACTCCACCCACTGGCAATATTTGAAAAATGCTGAAAAAGTGGGCAGACCCCAGTGGAGATGGAGGGGATGAAATAGATGCTAAAACACGCTATCCTGATCGTTTTCAATACTCGCAATTATAACTCCTGACTCCCTACAGTGGTTTTTGACGAAACAAGCTGGTTTTTATTCTGTGGTGAGCTGAAACCTGCGTACGTCACGAAGTGCGGAACATCCAATAGGAAAATGCAACTGCAGTAACCACCGTTCAACCTGAAGAGGGCAGCACTAAGATGTTTTTACACCATATCTTGTAGAAATAAAACACTTTATACACAAATGTCAAAAAAGTTACTCGTATCAATAACTGGTATTAATAAAGATCCATTCTTACAGGAGATCATTAACTAAAAAAAGTTGGTTTAGGGTTTAGTTACTCTTTAACAACATTACATTAAATAACGCAAGGAACGTCGTTTTTTTTTTTTTTTTTCATTTGAAAGGTAGGCCTACTCGAGTTAAACTAAGTAAAAGTACATTTAAATCTACTCTTAAAAGTAAAAAAAAATACTCAAGCAAATTTAACAAAGTAAATGTAGGCCTATTCGTTACTATCAAAATCTGCTGAGGTGTCATTACCTTGTTCTGTCTGCTGATGATGAGGACCGGCCGGTCACGTTAAGGCGTTAGACCGCAGCAATTGTTCCAAGCTAACAGTACAGCTCCTTGAAACCCTCCTCTTCGTAATTCTTAGCTCTTTTAAAACAAGCTATATATTCGTAGGACATTTTTAATAGCAGCTGCCTCTTTCTCTTCCTTTTCGTTCATTTTTTTTTTTAATTCTGATTGGATAATTATCAAGATTGAGGCCAAGCTTTGTGTATACTATTTTTAAGTAGCGTACAAAAAAAAAAACTCTGATCACGGAGGGCCCCTCTCTGCGCAAGGGCCCCAGATTGCCCATATGGTAGATCCAGCCCTGTGTGTACCAATGAAACCAACCTCCCTTAAGGGGAGATATCTGAAGCGAACGCAATCTAGTAAATCTGATTATACCTTCACTCGAATGGCTCTCTCGACATCGCTGGACAGATCCAGAAGCTCATCCACATCTATTTCCAGCTCAGGCACCTCATCTTCCTGCAAAACACAAAACCACTGATGAGAGATGTTAATGGGAGCTTCTGTGGGAAAAAAAGAGTGAATGTGAATAATTTACAAGCCACAGAAAGGCGGTCAACATCAGGAACTTATGGAAGCTTGTTTTAAAGATAATTGCTACTTTTTAATCGCACAATTCAGACTTTTTTCCTCACACTTGCGAGTTTTGGTTCCAATTGCCTTCCATTATTGTTTTTGTCCATATAATGGAAGTCAATGGGAACTGAAACTATTAACCAACATTCTTCAAAATATATTCAGTTTTACAGAAGAAAGTAAGGGTGAGTAAACAATAATGAAATTTACACTGCCCCAATAACAATAGTTTTTTTTATCCGAGAACAGAAATTAAGTCATATCTGGCCTTTGTGCATGACATCCATGACATCCGCACAACAGGATGGGCTGATCCTCATGTCCATGTGCAATTTATTTTGTGTGCATATGCTTGTGACAAAAACAATCCCCATTCACTTCCTGTTGGCTTACAAAAGACAACAACATCATATCCAGCTGTGTACAAGGATTTTTATGTCTTATTGCATTCACACTCCTTTCCATCAGGGATTCACTCTCATTTTGCTGTTTCCTGCAGTGCTATTTTGTTCCATTGCTGAGTGTGTGCTGAGGAAGACGGGGGAGGAAAGTTGCCATGGAAGGAATTGTCGCAGGTTTTTCTTCAAGTGTGTGTGCTGTTGCAGTCATTAAAATCAGGTCTGTTATGAAACCCTTCACACTGACCCATATTGAAGAATCGCTCTTGCACACTACAGCTGACCAAAACTTCCCTGTGGTGCTACTCGTAAATTAAAACACGTTCTCTTGCATCTATTACTTATAATCACAGAGAACAGCTGCAGGTCAATGCACCACACTCATTGAACATTTACAGACGAGTGCAGCACTTCAGGAGATAGCAGACTTATCATGGTTTTCTGTGGCCAAATGAGGACACAATAATGTGGATTACACAGGCCTACTGATATACCCTCGCCTACTAAAGAAGAGTGCATATTGGTGGCTCTTCCATCATTCTCAGTGGGTTTATAAATGTATAGCTGTCAATACAATTTTCAGCTTTTATTACAAAAAGTACAACTAAAAATATTAGATCTAATTATATGTCATTTTATGTGTTGTGGACAGTGGAAATATTGAGGAAAACGCTGTCGGGCCAAATCAGGTACGTAGAAAAATATATTACTTTACATAGTTTTAAGATATACGAAGCAACCAATTTCGTAGATTCTAATTAAATATACAGTTTGGGGTCAATATTTTTTTTTTTTATTGGTTGTTGGTGAAAGAAATGAATACCTTTATTCAGCAAGGACACATTTTATTGATAGTTAAGACATTCATAATGTTACAAAAGATATTTTTTATTCTTTTTTTAGATCTTTATATTCATCAAAGAATCCTGAAAAAATGTTTCAACCAAAAAATTAAGCAGCACAACCTTTTTCTTGTTTCTTGAGTAGCAAATCAGCATATCAGAATGATTTTTTTTGAACAATAATGTAAATACTATGTATGTTTATTTATATACTAAGTAGCCAAGATCATCATACATTTGCATTAAAATAATGTGAGCTCAGTGAAAAAAAAATGTCCAATGCACACCTGACTGTAAAACAAAAACAAAATTTTCTCAGTGGTGTATGGAGATGATTTAAAAAGCCACTGATCTAACCATTGAACAAAAAAACATTTGAGCCTTTGTCTGTGCTACTCTGAAAAAAAGGCCACAATGACAAAAAAATGTGATTATGTAATTTGTCACTGTGCATCATTATCCTCTTAGATACAAACATTTTCATCTTCAGTTTTAGCTCAGGGCATTCTAAACATCAACCAAATTGGACCAAACACCGCAGAGACTAGACTAGCAATATAATGGACGAGTTCTCCTGTCAGACCACATTAACATATGAATAACCTGTGGGATTCAGATGACATTTCCCAAGTCTAAATATGTGCGATTCTATTATCCTCTTCCTTGTTATATGAATATTATTGTAACTTACAGTATTCTGATATCAGAAACCATTAGTGGAAATGTATCACCAGAAACGCAGGCTTTCAAGCAAATCCAAAGGATTCAGGCTACCCTGTATAGTGTAGTGTCAATGAGACAAAGCAAAATGTGACTTCCCAAAGCCAGATTTTACCTCAGGATGAGGCCTACCGCTGGGCTGAAAAGCGCATACAGAACAATCTCATTTCAAGAGCTGCCTAATTTTACACCACATAATCTAGGTCAATTATATTAGCCAAGGAGGTTAAGTCAAGCTCAAAGTAAAGCATGCTTTGCATGCCTGAACAGATGACATCACCACAATGGCTAGAAGGGTGATCCCAGACATCCCAGGGGGCAGAAAGAAAAACCCATCCTGACTAGTGTCACCTACTGTATGTGCAATAGACATACAAATCATAATCAGCGATTTCTGGGCTTTGTGCATCTGTAGCTTTTTTATTGGGATATATTGGGATTGAAATCCATGTCTTTGTTAATGCAGCGAGCCCCATCCTCATATATATCCCGTCACATTAACAAATGAGGCAAGCCCACTTTTCGATGAAATATGAATAGATGCATTTTGCATAAAGGAATCATTGGGTGCTCTAATCTTTTTTCCTCGCAGCACCTGTCCAAAGAGGCTCACCTTTGTTTTATAGCTTTGTCTGTAGTTCATAATGCCACGCCCTTCCATGTGTAAATGCATATAACCATAAAATCAACATCGATTCAAAATTAAAACAAAGGATTGAAAGATGCCATGCTGCTCTTAATAAGCTATCAATTTATTAAAGCAAGGCAACTATCGCGCAAAACGGACATGACAAATGGAGCAAGAGGGATACCGGTTCACGAGGACGGAAAAGAAAAGAGCTGTCATTCCTTGCAACAAAGGATTGCACGCGGTCAAAGCAATGACAGTGTTTTTTGTCCTACCTCGCAGTCGTACAGATTCATTAACTGGCTAACTATCCACTCCTCCAAATTCAGCCGCCTTCTCAATTCTTTTCTGTCATATTTTACGGTCACTCGTCCTTGCTTCTGTGGCACTTCTTCTTCGGTACCGGGAGGTGTTTGAAAATAGACCCGGGGCTGAGGTGTCGTTTCCGGACTCGTTACCGCTGCCATTGTCCCTAATAAAAGAAAGCTGGGTTTAAATGTTTAATCAATTAGAGCATCGATTCAAAAGACAGAGGTGGTCATGTGCAGCCATTGGAGGTTGCAAAAAAAAAGTGCCGGCTCCCCTTTCTTAAATGGAACAGACCTTTTGGATTGCAAGGAGTCTGCAACGGAAGATGGGGATCAGGCATACAAGGAGCTTAGAAAACACTATTCATCAGACTAATTGTGTGGTCGTGGTTTAGGGTTTATCAAAGTCCATCTTCCCCAAATCGCTCCATCAATTGTCACATAAACGCTAGTGGGCGCCTCCAAGTGTCCGCGGTGAACGAATCATTCGTTTGAGTCGGATCTTTTCAATGAATAGGTTATAGCGGTTCACTAAAACAGACTCTATCCAGCAACTTGCACACTACCATTTTGTTTTTACACTATACTACTTTTATCTTACAATTATTTCACATAAATAGTGATAGCCTATGTAGTAATATTAGTAGTTAATATCAGTAAGTCCAAGCGGTGCTTTCCAAATAGCTATAGGCTTATGTTACAAATTAAACAGGCCTACATAGCCTGGATGGATTCAGATTGACTGTAGGCTATGATTCGGCAATAAAACACTTTTTTTTAAACCAGAGATGCAATTAAAAGTGTACATTAAAAAGAGATATCAATATGCAATAGCTAGATGACAGCGCGGATCGGTATTTGAACCGCTACTTTGAAACGAACTGTTTAAAAGAACCGAATCGCAAAAGATTTGGAGTTTTGGACCTCTCCTTACTATGAAATACCACCACACAACGTTTCCCTTTGGTCTTAATGCAATGTGCCAATACATGTGGCATTAGATTGATTAATAGTTTATATACATTTTTCATAATTTCAGGCACCAATAGCCTTTTTGATAGATATTAAAGCCTACTGAAATTGTATTCTCCATTTGTCAGGCCACCCCTCTTTCCTGTAAGTGGACTATTCCAAATCAAATATCCAGTGCCTGCGCTCTCTCTCTCTCTCTCTCTCTCTCTCTCTCTCTCTCTCTCTCTCTCTCTCTCTCTCTCTCTCTCTCTCTCTCTCTCTCTCTCTCTCTCTCTCTCTCTCTCAAACACACACACACACACACACACACACACACACACACACACACACACACACACACACACACACACACACACACACACACACACACACACACACACACACACACACACACACACACACACACACACACACACACAGAGACGCATCGCCGGTTATGCCAAGTGACCCTCTGTCTGTCTTCTCATTTCATTGTAAAATGTAGCCTACATTATGCTATTTATTCAACCCCAATTGGTTCGTTCACTCCAGTAAATCGCCATCCTTTCTGCATAATCTGAATCTGAATGGGTCCATGCCCTCAAGCTATTTCTTTGTCCATTTAGAATGTCCTTTTCCTTTATTATTATTTGATTTGGTTATTCATTATTCTTATTGACATTAATGGCTACATATTTTTGATAATCTAAAACACCAGATGAACTGTATTTAGGCTATAATAGCCTATAAATTATACAATATAAATATCCCCATAACATCCATTGATTTCCATCCAATTAACTTAACAGAGACGTGATTTTTTCAGAGTTTCATCTTAATGTTCCCAATCAGTAATGCAATTCAGAGGGTCGAAAAAGTGTATTTTCTTAGTTTTTGAGTAGGTTACTATTAAAAGGAATGCTAAAATTCAAAACACAAATACATTTACAGGAATGTAGCCTACTTAAGATAGAAACCAAAAGACAAGTTACACGAAAATGCATCACATATTTTTGGTAAAGCACTTTAATCTTAAATATTTTATTTATCTTATTGATAAAAAATGTTTGCACAGTTGTATACAGTATCTACTCTAACTACTTGCTGTAAAATGTTTAAAACTGCTCTTCAAGAGCATCATAAAACCTCAGTGTAACACTAGAGGGAAGCATGTGCTCACTTTACACACTGCTGAGAAGAAGCCATTATGTAATGCAGATCTTTTGTTTGGAATTGTAGCTGCTTATTAAAAAAAACTTACAAACAAGAAAGCAGCTTGACTTGTCAAAAAAACAAACAGTGTTCTTCACAGAGGAACGAGTCAAACTAGAAAAAGATGTAATGCAGATTAGAACAACTTCAGCAGTGTGAAAACACCAAATGCATTTTAACGACTTCACAATGAATAGCACACAAAAAGATCCACTCAGAAACATATCATCTCGGATCCAATTAGAGTAACTTCCTTCTGTTTACAGAACACATTTTAAAGCAGTAAAACCCGATCTGCCAACACAGTCTCCTCTGTTGTCTGAAATTGGCTTTTAATCAGTTTTTATATTTCTGATTTGCTGCTTCTATGGGCAGACCCTGCTGAAATCACTGCCAACAAGGCCGTTATCCTTCTTTTTAATGCACCGTGTAATTGGTTCAGTGGCCCCTGTGTGCCACACGCCAGCTCTGGATTATGAGCTCTGGGTCCTGTGGGCCTCCCTCACACACTCTACAGTCACAACAAAACCAATCGAAAGGCAGAACCGAGTGCTGGTACATGTTTCCTTCTCCAAACCGTTTGGGATTATAATGTTAGTGTTTGAGATGAAAGAGCCCTTTCCAAACAATCCAACTGCAACATGAAATGTTGCATAACCACTTGCCATTGGCTCATTCGCTTTAAGTATTGGATAACGTTCAAATTGAGCGTTCAGTTCTCTTTCTCTATTTACCCTCAGCGGGAATGAGCTGTTTAGGAGGGGGAAAAGGGAAAAACTTCCAGAGCAGTGTGGCTTTTTTAACATTTGAGGGTCATGTTCCCTCCTTTGAGGACCTGTCAGGCATGGAGAGAGCAAAGACCATTCTGTGCGGGGTTTTCACACTGTAGAATTTCCATTGAAGCTAAGCAGAGTTGGGCCAGGTCAGCACTTGGATGGGAGACCTGATGGAACTAAATGATCGGAGATGTCCAGTGTGAAAATGAAGGGAAGGGGAAAGGGAAAGCATCTTTTTATTTAAACAGAATAAGCCTCCTATCCAACAAAGAGCAGAAGGAAGACGGGTGTATTGTTCTCCATATATTCCAGAGAATGCCTCAAAGATGGACTGCCAAAAATTGTGTAGCTTAGAGCACAACCAAAACATGTGCAGCAGTGTGGCAGGAGCCTCCCTTCACCGATCACACGTAGGGTCAATACCCATCTTAAAGGGATACTCCACTTTTTTTGGAAATAGGCTCATTTTACCACTCCCCCAAAAGGTTAAACAGTTGGGTTTTACCGTTTCAGATGTATTCAGACGATTTTCTGATATTTAGAAGAATATCAGTAAACAGACCGTTTCTGGTCTCATTGACTTCCATAGTATATTTTTTTTCCTTCTATGGAAGTCAATGAGACCAGAAACGGTCTGGTTACTGATATTCTTCTAAATATCAGAAAATCGGCTGAATGGATTTGAAAACGGTAAAACTCAACTGTTTATCTCTGGGGGAGTTGTAAAATAAGCCTATTTCCAAAAAAGTGAAGTAACCCTTTAACCTTCTGGTCCAATGTAGATGGTGCACTATTTTAAACTGAACCACAGTGTGTCTGAAGATTGACTGTATAATTTGTTGCCATATTTCTTCTGGAATCGTTTCATCTAGGTCTGTTTCCCATTTGATTCTAAGGCTATAGAGACTATTCATGTTATGTGTATTGAGCAATGTGGAAATTCTGCCTGTTACTTGTTTTATGTTAACTTTACATTTAAAAATTGTTTCAAGCAGAGTTTCAAAAGGACTCAATGGGAAACAGAATTACAAAACCTCTAAGCTGTAAATACCTGAAGAAATGTGATTTCCGAAGACCATGAAGGCTGAGATAGGCTGTTTGAAAGGTAATTTGGAAGATAATAAGCTGCAGAGGTAATAAATCTGGGAGGTAGGTGCAATGGATACCCACTCCAACACCATCCATTCAGTAGTATTGACATCCATCATATCTCAACCAATACAGCAGTGTTCTTATATTAGCAACCCAATGGAATTACATAAAATTTGGAAGTGCCATACCTCCCATTGCATGGGGCCTCTGTAAAATATTTGTATTTATTATTATAATTAATGTGCCCGGCATGAAGGGGGAGGAGAATTTATACGCAAGTCACGTTTAGCCGATAAAACACTTACGCAATTTTACATTTGAAATTTTACCTCACGGTGAAATTACAAATTAGAGAATTGGGATGTCCTTCCCACATCCTTGTGATTTCTCTTTACTGCCCCCTGGTGCCAAGGCAATGTAACAATATTATAGATCACACTATCAATTACAACCAATATACTTTTAAAGCGCCACAACTGTTTAGATGGGACAATCACCTCAGAAAGCCGGAAATGTGATGCTCCGTTTCTCAGTGTCCTAATTTTAGAAAGCTCTTGAGCGTTCAGTAAGACTATAGTCTTAGTTTGCACTATATGAATCATCCTCACCCTGAAGTGACACTATATGATGACTAACTTGTCTGAGCTAGTGATTCAAGAAACAAGCTTTTTCTCTCTCTTTCTCTCTCCTCCCACCTCACTTTCATTTTCTTCATCGTTTTTATTTCAAACTGGGCTTTCTGTGACAGAAAGGGACTATTGCACAAATAATTACAGATACAGAATCTAAATAAAGAGGAAGGTGTTTTTTTTTTTTTTTTTTTTTTTTTTTTACTATTTTATTCTTTTCATTACAAGAATTTCTGTTTCCTGCAAAGTGCAGGGGGATGTTGAGCTAAATTAGTGAAATTGTTTATCTATTGGTTTTGTCAAGGTTTCTGACCCCAAGCTAATGCTTAATTTGGACATTTTGTCCCCAAATAAGTTAGGCTTTAAGCTCTCAATTAGCAGTTATTGTGCTTCCTCCACTTTGAAAGACATGGAAATGTGTTTTTTCTTACCTGTTGGCCCTGCCACCAATCCTGCCGAGCTCTCCAAAGTCAGATCTGGCTGTGAGATATACAACATGATGCCTATAATTGGTCAGAGTGGGATCCATTTCCTGTAACAACTGTTGGTGAGTTCTGAAACATCGGTGTGAGCTGACCCCACTTCAGCCCGTCTCTCGCCACGGCCGCTGTGATTGATGACTCGAAATTGCCACTGTAATGTTTGCCACTGCAGCTGTGTCTTTTTTTGTCTCCCCAGTGATCTGAAAATAGAGCTGTGGATTGCTAAGGCAAACTGTCACTGACAACAATGAACATCTGATTCCTTATCATTCAAAAGAAGATTCTTGTTCTCACAGAGGTGATTCTATGAACAACAACCATCAGCATCAGCGT